CTGCTCCACAGCTCCCTGCTTTTGCTGCTGGAGGATCTGGTGTTTCCACAGCCAGGAGGACATTGCTCCCACATGCAAAAACCAACAGCCTCTAAAACTAAGGCAAAACCTGGGCTGAAATGCAAAGTATGATTTAAGTTTCTTTTTCTCACCCAGACCTAGCAGAAGGACATTTCTGCTCCAGGATGACTCATTTTTATTCAGTTAATTAACAAGTAACTTAATCCAGAGATTATAAATGTGCCACCATGACATCTCTTTACCCACCAGCCTCCTACAAAAAGGTTGAGAAGGACTATTCAGCCCAGCCTGAAGAGGTTAATTTTGCTAAACTACTCCTGCCTCCATGTCCACATGACTTTGTTAACGTGATGAGCCAGAACTGCTGAAAATGGCCCACGTGTCCTGGAGTCATCCAGCACTTTGTACAACCAAGACCTAGAAAATGCAACATGCAAGGGTGTCTTCTGGTGCAAGACAGCTCACACTGACACTGAAGACCCACAGACAGATAATTACAACACCTACACAACAAACAAGGATATTCAAAGTCCTGTCCCACCATGGCAAGAGAGCACAAATCTCAATACAAACTCCTGCCACCTCCACCACCTTCAATGGGAGGACTTTCATCCTTAAAATGAGGACACGTGCCCAGTCCAATGGTGCAGACTTCTACTTCATTGCATTAACAACAGATACAAATTACACCTGGGTTCTCCTATCACCTTGATCTCATTAACTGCTAAAGAATATCACCCCCTCATTTGCCTGTGCTGGCTCCCTCAGAGGAGGAGCAAGGAGAGCAGAGGACAGCCCAGGGTGGACCTCACTCCTGGTCTTGGTGAGTTTTGGATTGCACTTCAGCCATTTCGTTGTTGCTGGTTTGGAGGTGGTGGGTTTTTTGTCTTGTGAATGTCCTTCTGACAGCAGAAAGGGACTTGGGAAGACGAAGGTCTTGGAGGTTCCTAGAAGTTTTGGACTTCTCTGAACTCCTCTTGGAGCTGGGTCTGCTGGAAATGGGGAGCCTGAACTTGCACCCCTCTGCAGGGGACGAGGCCCAGGGAGGGAAGGGTCAGGAGCCTGTGCTCAGTGGTGGCCCCCACAAGCCCCAGAATGAGAAGAATAGGAGCCCAGTTATGGAATGCAATCAGAGCCCAAGCATGGATTAAGACATATGTGCCTGGATCACTCTCTTATTACAAACTCCATGGATTTTGAAGAAAGAGATGAAGTTTCTCAGTTCAATCCACATAAAAATTGAAGTATTTGACTCGGAAGAAAGGGAATTTCTAATGGGCTGGGACATTACAAAGTCTGCATTAATATTTATCTGACAGGCGAGTATGACTCTCATGTGAAAGTAATGCTCTTTCGCTCCCAAAAAAAGCAGCAATAAAATCCCCCAAGGTTCATCCCCGTTTTTATCCTTCTGCCCTCATTTTGGTGTTTGCTTCCCAAATCCCTGTGCCTCCTCTCAGGAAAAAAAAACCAACCACCTCAGTTGCCAAGGAAACCCAGTGAGCAGGGAATTGGCAGGGCTCAGCACTACTAAAAAGAGCTCTGGGAAGCCAGCTAAAGTCACAATTAGAAGCAGTGCCTCAGCCACCAAAGGAGAGGACAGAGATCCTCCGTGCCCACGTCACCACTGTCACACTGGATGAAGCCACAGGGCTTGCCAGCGTGCAAGGGGCAGGTACAGCCCTGCCAGCACTCTCTGCTTCCTTGTGCTTCCCTTCTCTTCCTCAGGCTAGAATTCAGCATGTGCAGCCCAGGGCAGCTGGGAGCCCTGAGGGGGTTCTGCTGCTGAGCCCAAGGACTGACATGCCAGGACAGTGCCAGGACACTGCCACACCAAAACTGAGACAGGGGCAGTGTTGGAGCTGGCAGGAAACACTGCCTGCCCAAATCTTCCTGCTCTTTTAATAAGCAGGAATCCAGCACAAATCTGTTCCCGTTTTTCCATGGTGCTATGGAATGGCAGGAGTGAGCCCAGCTCCTGAATTTTAAATTACCCTGCTAAGATTGTCAGCCTTCTCCTTTTTCACCCACGAGGGAGGAAAGCTTCCTCCTTTCTGTCCATTTTCATGCTTTTATAACAAGTATAGAAGAGGAGGTTCCACACAGAAGGATGTGTGGCCTGGAACCCTGCTCATCCCAGACACATCATGTACCCAATGACAGGGCAGGAACCTCCTGGCTTTGAGCAGACACACCACCCTGCACACCCTCCTCATGTGATGAGCACCTAGCTTGCTCCCAGGAAAAGATTCTGTTTCATAACTCTTATATATATGTATATACATATATATATTTTATATATATAACTAATAACGTCATCTACCTGGATTAGAACAAGGCATCTGACACTGTCCCACACAACATCCTGGTCTCCGAACTGACAAGACATGGGTTTGACAGATGGAGCACTCAGTGGATAAGAGATTGGCTGGATGCTATGAAGACAGGCTGGGAGAGTTGGGGTGTTGAGCCTGGAGAAGAGAAGGCTCCAGGGAGACCTTAGAGCAGCTTCCAGTGCCTGAAGGGGCTCCAGGAAAGCTGGGGAGGGGCTTGGGACAAGGGCAGGGAGGGAGAGGACAAGGGGGAAGGGATCAAAACTGTAAGAGGAGAGATTTAGGTTAGAAATCAGGAAGAAATTTTTCACCATGAGGGCAGGAAGGCACTGACCCAGGCTGCCCAGGGAAGCTGTGGCTGCCCCATCCCTGGCAGTGTTGAAGGGCAGGTTGGATGGGGCTTGGAGCAACCTGGGCTGGTGGGAGGTGTCCCTGCTCATAGCAGGGAGGTTGGAACCTGATAATCTTTAAGGTCACTTCCAACTTTCACCATTCTATCATTCTATGATATTTATTAATTATTAAAAAAAAAACAAACTTCTTAAAAACTTGCCACCTCCTTCTAGCTTTCCCTTTTTAAACAGACAGTCACCAGCTTTTGAAGAGCACCACATTTTAATATACAGAAATGGTGTTTCTGAACCACAAACCAAAGATGCTGACTCTCTGGAACTGTGGGCCAGTGTCTGTACCAAGCTGGCTCTGCAGGCAGGAGGGGGCACGTGGTGGGAAACACTGTGCTGGGCTGTGTCTCCGGGTCAGTTTTGGACTGTGAAGTCTCTACTTGGAATAAAAAGGATGAAGCAACATGGACAACAACTAAGGGCTCTATGTCTTAGGCATGAAACTAGCAGCACTACTTGCAGCATGACAAAACCAGTATCTCATTTCCCAGTAAAACACCTTCTGTTTTCTTCTAGAAAATCCCGCTCTACGGAAGCGAACTACGCTTTGAAGATATAATGTGATAACCACACGTCTGGGAGGCTGAGAACTGCCCCCCCTGATGCTGAGGTGGTGGCTTTCCCAAGACGCAGGGTTACCAGATTATAAGGCATGGGGAGCAGTGCTGGGCTGTGGCTGCCATGCCTGGCACCAGAACCTTCCACCCGGGACTTACGAGATTTTCCAGCTGGAAGCCTCATCAGCAGAGCGCCAAGTGAAGCTGCTCCAGAGGCAGTTGGCTGAAAAGCAGCTCTGGTGGCCTTTGAACTGAAGTTGCTCAGGCAGAGAAACCAATCTGATGGTACGTGAAAGGTGGGTGAGAGCAGAGGAGGGGAGGAGGTGAGAGAGAGAAAGAATTGAGAAGGGCGGTTGGAAGAGGGAGACGAACGAAGGAGGCAAGGAAGGAGGCATGGAAACAGAAAATAAAAAAGGGAATAAAGGGAGGATGTGGAAAAGGATGGAAGGAAATGAAGAGAAAAAATGTAAGAGACATGTAATGTATAGCTGGCTTATGCATTTCTAGTGTAACTAACAGCAAGTGTGCCTCCCAGAGAGCTGGGTCAGAAGTCCTCATGCAAGCACAATCCTCATCACTTCTCTGTCACAGTAATTAAAGACCAAAGAAAACAAAACCCACTAAGAACACCTTTGCAACATTTAAAGAAAAGAATCACCTGGTCAAGTGATTTTGCTGGACTCCACAGCCTGTATCTCTTTCCCAGAACTGTGTGTCTGTCTCCTTCTCTCCACTGCCTGAGGTCTGTGAACTGCATCTTCCTGGGAGCACATCCCCTGCAGCTGTAGGTGGGAGGCACTGACCTCACACCAGCTAAAGAGCCAACATCACCACTGACTGACAACCAAAGCTGAACCTCAAATGGAACACGTAGGAAAAACCTGCCAGTCCTCACTGGCTCTACCTTTTTTGGACTCCTTTATGCTCACAGGACGATGTCAGAAAACTCCACAAAAGCCAAGCAAAAACAGTCCAAAAAGTGTGTGAACAGACTCGGTGCTCTGAGCTGCACCTGTAGGTAACAGCCCTGCTAGTCCAGAGGTGGTGCTTGGGAGGTTTCACAACAGAGATGTGTCTAAGGAATGTACAAGAGCCGACTGCCATTGAGGCCTGGGAACTGATCCTGCCTTTTCCACACACTGAAAAGAACCCCAATATTTGGAAGGAGACACTCCAGTAGCAAGGCCTGGGGTGGTGCCAGAATTTAAAGCAGGTTTGAAGGATGGAAGCAGCCTTTAAAAAAAGAATAGTCTTGTTCAGAGCAGCACGGAGGGAATGTGCTGCTAGAAGAGACCTTTTTGGACGAGACACCAGATGGGAGCCCCAGCCTGGCTGGGCCCATGGAAATTTCGAGACACTCTTTGGAGAAGAGGAATTGCATCCTCTCTGCAAGCCACATGGTACCTTGATGGAAACGTACTGTGCATCCTTAGGTGGTTCTGCCACTGGAAAGGGAGGCAGAGTCATTCCTGTCACTTCCTCTACTGCTGTGTAACGCTGCCCCTGCTCCTAGCTTAGCACTTCTTTCCACCTCAGAACCACCAGCACAATGACACGATGCCTATAGATGTCAAGCCTATGCTGTGAAAAGAGGAAAAATATCCCAGCTAGGAAAACTACCCTGACTCTTGTCCCTCGGGCACTCCCTGTTTGCAGGTCACCCCCTGCCTGGCTTCACTCCTTACCGTAAAGTGGAGTGTCTGCCAGAGCGGGAAATGCTGTTCCCAACTGGGGAGGGTAAATTACTGCCTCTGTGCAGGTCCTCAATGGATCGGCTCCAAGGTTTGGACTTGTCCATCGAGTTCTCCACATTGTTCTCCAAGCTTTCAAAGTCAAACCTGAAAAGAAATGGGAATTGCAACGTTGCCTTTCCCCCTGGCGCAGCTGAGCACACAAACAGACCATTGCAGGAGGATCAAACAGCTACAGATTCTTCTACTCCAACACAAAATAAATAAAACATTGCTGACGAATAGCCCTGCCTTGAAGGAAAGGGGAGGGAAGGCTTAAAGCTGTCCCCACTTTATTGCAATAAATCAATACGTTCTGCAAGGACTAATCCAGTTCCCTCCATCGACAGGTGACCCAGCGGTTACGCTGCCTCCCTGGCCCTCACCAGCCTCCCAGCATGTGCAACATGTTACCATCAGCATTACAGATTTTCTTTGATTTCTGACTCCTTGCCCACTGTACTGCTATTTCGAGCAAAAATTGCTTGCTCCCCTTACAGCTTTGGAGGTTATTACTCATGTTCACCACGCTAGAGAGGGGAAAAACCCAGCAAGCTCACTTGCCTCCACTGGTACAATTTCAGGAAGCAAGTCTTTACACAAACACTTCTTTCTGCTGTGCAGTTTTTTCCAGTGGCAGTAACAGTTTAAAACATATAATTTTCCTCCATTAATTTTAATGCAACTCCACAAAAAAACCTCTTTTCTGTGCAATGATATATATATACATCTGACAGCATCTTTTCTAAAAAGAAAAATGTCAACTCCACTCAGCTTGAATTCCTGACTACAACAGCATCTTTAACCTACTGCTTCTTTTCGTACCATTTTACACAAACATTTTATTCTACAACATCCTGAAGTGAAAGCCTGTAAATACCCAAAACCAGATCCTCAGCTGCACACCTATTTCAAACTGTGCAATATGATGACTAATGAAAGCTGATTTTCCTGATTATTTTCTTTTTAATGGAGTGCACGCAATGATTTATCACCTAAATGCCTGGATCTGACTCCCAGCTAAGCAGATGTCAGAATTGCACAACCTTCTTTTATAGTCTTCCCAACATGCAAAATCACCTTGAGATTCCTG